TCACCACAACTAGCTGCATCATTTACACCCAACTTTGACCCTTCTTAGAACTAGTACTAAGCCTGTGCCCCCCTCCACAACTGTTATCCATAACACCAAATAGCTAGCATTATCTCCAACCTACACTAACCCTTATACGCACTAACCCTTACATGCACCTATCCCCATCCTCACCACCCCAATGACTTTTTCATTCCACTCATCAGAAATAACCTAAAAAACCACAGTCACCTTCTACTGTGACCACATCAAGAATGGCTTTTGTACCACCCCTAAAAAAACCCCCACGAGCAGCCACTAGAAAAACCAAAAACATCCCTTCCATAACCCATTTCCCAAGCCCCACCGCCTATTCAAACTGCCTACCAACTAACAGGCCACTATCTTGTTACCAGACGCCTTTCCTAAAATAAAAAATAAGCAACCAAAATCACACATAAAGATAAAAAAAAAAAAAACCATAGTCCTCGCTTAGTAAAGGACCTAGCAATAACATACAAAAAAATCACAAACGTTGAAATTGTGCCATTTGGGTTTTAGGATTCCAAGAAGATTCAAACTAGGATTTTTAGTGGGAACGACAAGTACGAAAATGAGGGAAACCTAGGAAAAATTGATGGCAAACTAAGTGGCAAAAAAGATTTTTTAAGGTATTGAACCTATGACTTTTGACTTGGATTCAGGGATTTTGGTGGATTTTCTAGAAAAACTAAAGCTAAAACAAGGAAAAGGTGGTCAAAAAGATCTTTTGGGTGATTTTAGGAAATTTTTTTCACCAGTAACCGGTGATGAACGACTACTGATTGAGGTGATTAGCCAGTTTTTGGGTGACTGGCATCATTAGCTTTTGAGAGCCTTTAAAAGTTTTTTATTTTAGAAAAAAAGTTTGAAATGAATGAAAAAAATGTTTAGCATTTATAGGTAAAAAAAAAAGATCAAACCAACTTGATCTGACCTGATCCACGCTTGTGACTCGACTCGCCCGTTAGTTAACCTACTTCAATAACCCAATCCTCCTAGGCCCATTTTCAGTTTTTGTTGGACTTTAAATTCTTGGGCTTGGTATATATAAAGCTTTAGGCTTAAACACAAAATCTCTATTTGAGTACAATTTCTAGACATTTTTTACTCTTTATTTGCATGTCTTACATTATTAATTTTTATAACACATGCATGCAATGAAAATAAATATTTAAAAAACTATTATTAGTATTTATTTGTTTATTTTTATTTTTATTTTTATTTTTGTGTGAAAACTTGTACTGTTAAATGTGAAAAAAAAAATGAATTAAAGAAAATTTTTTTAAAGAATATGATTTTAAGAAAGTCGAGTAAAGATTCCTAAGAAATCCTTAAGTGAAAAAATTTTTCTAAAAATATTGCTAAAAATTGGGGTATCTAGAAAAATTTTCAATAAAAAGATTTTCTTTGCCATGTTTCCTTCAAAAATTTTAATAATAATGATTATGAAAAAATTAGGTGATTAAAACAAAATTAAATGAATAATGAAAAAATATAACATAAGAAAAAAAAAGCAATATGTCTTTTAAAATATATATAATATGTAGTAGTAGTAGTAATAATAATAATAATAATAATAATAATAATAATAATAATAATAATAAAAGAACCTTTTGCACCCATATTGCACTTGTCATTAACATTAAATAATCATGAAAATAATACGAGTTTTCGATAATGGGATTCCAAAAAATTCGAGTAGTAATTCTCAAAATTCCTTGGGTGAAAGAATTTTTTTTTAAAATATTGTTAAAGTATTGAAATATTTAGAATGATTCCCAATACAAAAAATTCTTGTTTCTAAAAACGAACTTTCATGCAATAGTATCACGAATTAATCAATATGCATCATATTATAAAAATAAACAAAATTTTTGAGAATGAAGCCTTAAAGAATTTTTAGTATGATTCTTTAGGAATTTTTATGTGAAAAAATTTATCTAAAATACCACCAATGTACCAAAACATTTAGAATAATTTTCAATAAAATTTTCTTATTTTTTAAATAAAATAAGAAATGAATTTTTAGATAATATTATTTGAATTTCAATTAGATATCATATTTTATAATTTTCTTGCTAAATATAAATATTAAAGATAAATATGAACTACCAATGATAGGATTTTTTTAAATTCCAAGTAGTGATTCTTAAAAATTTCTTAGCTAAAAAAGTTTTTCTTAATATTACGAGAGTAATAAAATATTTTTAAGAATTTTTCAATATGCAAAGTTCTTATTTATTTCTCAAGCAAACAACTAAAAATAAAATTATGTTTTTTTACAATAAAGAAAGATAAGAAAATTAAATTTTAAATACCAAAATTAAAACATTTTTGTCCAAGTTAAAAGATGCCACATAATTAATTGGTACTTTTTTTTACAAGCATTATTGAGGTGTCAATCATTTTCATGCGTAAATTATTTTCGTAAACTCAAAATTTTTTTTTAATAAATATTAATTAATTTTAAGATTTTATTAAAAAGATAAATTTTAATAAGTGACCAATCATACATAATTAAAATAGATTAGTGATGATTCTTTTTTATTTCAAATTCGTTTAGCGATCTCCAAAACTGTTACAACAACTACAACACACAATCTTACCTTCCTTGAAACCTTCACATCATGAGGCACGAAGTAATAAAACTATTAAATATAATCTGATACTTATGCCAATAACAATGGTAAGAAGATTGCTATACGTACCAAAATTTGAAGGTTTGTCCATTTGTTTACTAACAAATTTGTAAAAGTCGTGACATTAATATTTGAACGCTTCCTAAATTGGTTTTTCGGATTCTGGCCGGCGTTGAGTAGTGTTTTATTTTGCAATTGTGCTAGCTTGGTTGCTTCATCCATGCAAAAACCTTTGCTTCGCATTAGCGCTCTTAGTCTTCCCACGTGTATGCTACATCTTTGGCATCATAATTCTAAAAAAAAAAAATGCTGCTAAATGCACTCCAGCTTTTTATCTTCACACCCCAACTTTTTTTTTTTTCAAAATTTTTTTAAAATAAAATTATTTAATTACCTTTTATTTCTGAAATGTCATAAACCTTTTCAAAAATAGATTTTCAAAACATCATATAACTTTTTAAAAATGAATTTTTGAAAGTTTTTAAGAACTTTTAGATCTGAACATCCATTGAAATCTTGGATTTTCGAAAGTTCCTAAAAGTTCCGAAATACCTATTTTTGGAAACTTTTAAGATTTTTGGAAACCTTTAAGATTTTTTGAAAATCCATTTTCAAAAATTTTGAATTGCACTAAAATATTTTAACATGATATCTTACAAAATTAAATATAAAATCAAATAAAAAAGAAAGAAAAAACAAATGATTTATCTTTGATTTTATGCTTTTTTGTATTTCAAATGGGTGAAATTTCTTTTGAATTTGGCTTGATTGGTCTTAAAATCTTTAAAAATCTTCAGTTAGAAAGAAAGAAAAGAAATGAGGTGTAAGATAAAAAGAGATCGGATGTTTGGGTTTTTTGGTAAATTTGTGTTTTGGGTACAGGGTGTATTGAGTAAAAAATTAGTTGTTAAAAGTATGAGGAAAATTAAGTAATTTTACTTATAAATTTTTTTTAAAAAAAAAAGCTAAAATATAAAGAGAAATAGTTGAAGTGCATTTACTTTTCTGAAAATATTATTAAAAGGCTGAGGATCTCTACTAGGAAAACTTAAATAATAACCAGGCGATACCGATGCCATCCCCATATCATTAACCTTCTATTATGGGCTCAATTATTTAAGTACTAATTGATTAATTGGACCGGATGCTATTTCCTTATTATTCGGCTCTTTCTCTTATTTTGCTTGTTAAGGCCTGTATGTTCCAAGGCTCTTTGATTCCTTTGTTAACCTTTGTCAATATCATTACAGAGGAAGACAGATGAATTGCTGCTGCAGTCCAAGAAGCTCGGATTGTAGCTGTAAGGCATTCTGTTATGCAAAATATAATTTGTCTTTTCTCTTTCCGAATTTTCTCACTTCTCTTCTTCTTTTACTCTGTAACTCTTCTTAAAATTACTTCAATTTCTTTCTGTAAATTTTGAACTGCAACATTGGTATCAGAGCTTCGATCTTGGCCATGGATGAGGGGGTGAAGACAAGATTTCAAGAGGACAAGACTCTGCTGCGGGAAATAATGGAGCGTTTGCACCACGCCTTCGAACGGCTTAAGGAAAGGATTCGATTTGACATGAAAAGTTTTGACATTAAATTTATTGAAGCAATCGACCGAATGAATGCAATAATCAATGAAGGAATTGATGATGAAAAAGCTAATGACTCAGACATGATCGTGCATGCGAACCAACAAGCTGAATACTACACTTCTAAAGTAACCTCTATAAATCTTTCTTTTCCTTTACATCCACTGCCACAAAAACCTATCTTAGACATGATAGTCCTAAAATTTTCAATAAGTCTAAGGTTGATGAAATATGTAGCAAATGGGGTATTAAGCATGCTAGATCTTCAATTGATGGCTCTTTTATGTTACAGACCGTGCAACATTTGGTTGAATGGAATAGTTTTAGGTCTATTTGGGTTGTACACACCAGAAATGTGGCTAAGCTTTTCTTTTTGAAGGCTGTTGATGTGAGTGAGAAGGCTTATTCAATAATAGTAGTGATTGGGGGTAGACGTGTTATTCTAAGTGATCCTTATAAATTTCGACTTTTGGGAATGGGAAGGATGAGTGACGGTGATGTGGCAGTGTTTGTCCTTGATATTTGTGCTCTTGATTTAATTAAGACAACATATGAGAAGGATGTGTATTTTGATAGTTCTGATAGTGAGCAATTGGGAAATGTTGTGTTTTTTGTCACTTTATGCATGTTCTATTGGCTTTTGGAACTCATGGATACAAAGGTCACTGTATAGGTCTTTACTGAAAACATTCTTACATTGGCCTGTGGAAGATTCAACAAAGAATGCATTCCAAGTGTTTCTTGTATGTGTTAATTATATGGAGCTTTGGACAAACAACTTGGATGGTATTGGGAAGACTGAAGTTGGACTGCTAGGCAAGGTTGTATCTGGTTTTGGTTATAATTTTTATGCTCATAACCATTATGGTGCTGGTGTTTATAGTTGTGGTGAAGAAATAGCATTTTTGGAGAGCCTTGAAAGAAAGTAATGGGAACCTAGATTGAAGCCACTTTTCCATGACAATGTTGGAAGAGCATTTTACTATAGCATGTGGATCAATGGGAAAGGTGAGGATTGGGTATACTACTGCAATCATAAATCAAATGTTCGCTGTTCAAATGTTGAGGATTCTGTTGCACCAATGTCAGAACCATCCCTGCCACAATTCGAGGCGCAACATTTTGTCATGGAAAAAAAGAAAGCCAAGCTTCAGGTCTTCTAAAGCGAAAAAAGAATCATTGTTGAAAAGATCCTATGAAGAAGATAGGGATGACATTAATTTTGACCATCGTCAGTTTAGCTCTGATGAAACGTATGAGCTTGGGTGGCATAAGACAAATGAAGATTCATTTGCAAATTGTTCATCAGTTTCTGAATTTGGAGATGATAATTTTGCTATTGATAGTAGGGAACAAAAAAAATTGGTAAGCAGTGAGGGTCACATGAAGCTTCAAGCGCAGGTCTTCTTTGTTTTAGTGATCAATGGAGCAAGCAACCAGCTAGTGGAAATGCATGTACAACCTTTGTTGCCGATTGGTTTCAGAACAACATTGATCTAATGCCTATTAAGTCTCAAATTGATGGTTTGATCAGAAAAGGTACATTGAAATAGAAGAACCTTGGTAAGAATGAAACCCGTAGGGAGCAATTCCCTGATAGGAACTTCTCTATTAAAGAACAGCTTGAGTTAAAGGCTATTTTATATTTGCCAAAAAGTGCTCAATTTGATCTTTTTGACACCAGGAAGAAGTTGAACTTCATGCTCTATGTTAAGAGGGTATTCACTATGGACCATTGTAAGGAGCTTATTTTTGGGTGCCTAGGATTTGTGAAAGGTGTTGTTGACTCTAATGACTTGCCTCCCAACTTCTTTCGTGAGATGCTACAACCGAATAAGATTTTAATGGTGATTAGGAAGAACTTTGTGAATAAGTGCACTGAGGTGTTTAATGAGATAGTTGAGAACAATGAGAGGTATGAGCTTGGGGAGATACAAAAACTTTGAGAGACAGTGCTACAATGGGATGCTGATGGAGAAAACAGGCGAGGTAAATGTCCACTTACTCCTTATGAATAGAGATGGCAGCCTAATCTGACTCGTTTGGATTTGATCCGACCTTTTAAAGTAGATTTTTTTTTTTAAATTAAGTTTTGAGTCAAATTGGGTTTGAGGTAAAAAAAGTTGAGAGGTTGTGTTTTAAACAAATCCTACTTAACTCGATATATATATATATATATATTATTTTTTAATTATATATTTAATTATATATTTATTAAATTTTATATTTATATTAAAAAATAATATTTTATTAATTTCTATTTGAGTCGGATTCAAATATTAAAAAAAAAAATTTTTTCACGTCGATTTGGATCAAGTTCGGATATTATAGATATAAAATCGGGTCGAATTCGAGAAAAGTAAAAACTCACCTTAACTCAAGTTGAATCTATATAACTCAACTCGTTGCTATCCCTACTTATGAAGTAGGATTGATGTTGCGGGCACTTGGTTTCGCAAATGACATCATTTATTCAATTATAAAAATGGATGTTGATGTGGTCACCGTTGAAAATTCAAGATTAGATGAAAAGCCTCTATATGTCTTCTATGAGCAGGTGAAATATGGTGACGGAATTTTGTTTGATGGGTTTGATTCAAACCGCTACAAGAGCAAGCAAACATGCCTTCCTATAACACAAAAAGACTACTGGCAGTTCAACATGGGTGATGTTCTTATTGGTAGCAAACCAACTGGATATTACGTTGGAGACTGCAGCAATTGCAAATACTGCAACTTCCTTGCTAAGAGGTTCAATAATTGTGATTACCCTGATAAACCAAGCAATTGAAGCCTCTGGAGTGGTTAGCCAGGAGTGTAAGGTAGAAGGTTCGACTTAGAGAAATTGTCTGATCTGCAGCAATAGTTTTCTGCAATTGATCCTTGAGAACAAGGATCATTTCAAGGAGGGGGTATTGTTATGGGCTCAATTATTTGAGTACTAATTGATTAACTGGATCGGATGTTGTTTCTTTTGGACTTGTTATTTTGTTTTGCTTGTTAAGCCCTATGTGTTTCGGGGCCCCTTAATTCTTTTGTTAGCATCTGTTAGTATCATTCAGGGGAAGACAGATGAATTGCTGCTATCCAAGAATCTTAGATTGCAGCTGGAGGGTTGTTAGTCTATATACAAAATAGGAGCTATGATGTGTTATTGTAAGGTATTCTGTTATGCGAAATATATCGTTCTTTTCTCTCTGAATTTTCTCTCCTCTCCCTCTTCTTACTTTGTAACTCTTCTAAAAATTGCTTCAATTTCTCTTCTTAAATTTTGAACTGCAACACTTTATCTCCTTTTTTACTCTGTTTTGCACCTTTAATTTCTCGTTCTACGAATTCAGAACCTCCTATTTTAAGAAATTGATTGTGCACTTCAAGCTTATGCTATGATCGGTTTCTTGAACAACGTAATTCCTATGATTTTGACGTACAAAAATGTGAAAAGAAAAAGGGTAAGAAAAATCGACAAGAGCAAGAGGTAAGAAAGTGAAAAGAAAGAAAGAATTAAATGTGCGAGTTTGACATTTTAACACACTATGTTTGACTTAGACCCATGTCATGCATTGAACAGATCATCACGTCCATTTATGTAAATTGAGAGAGACCAGAGGGTAGCTTCAATCGCCCTCATTCTCCGGCATTCTTCCTCTCTGTCTCCTCCTTTTCTCCTCGTAATCGCCGTCTTTAAAAAATATACCTTTCTTTGTAAATGAACATTTATATTTAAAAACAAAGATAATCCAAGGAAGGTTTTTCCTTTTTTTTTTTTGTTTAGTGGGTTTTAAGAACTTGCCGGTTTTTTTTTCTTGTTTATGGTAATTTTTGTTGCGCCGGTGAAAGTGGATGGCCATGGAGAAAATATTTAGCAAGCTACGGAATTTGGACGTATACCCAAAAGTGAATGAAGATTTCTACAGCCGCACATTCTCCGGTGGCATTATCACTCTCGTCTCCTCTCTTGCCGCACTCTTCCTCTTCTTCTCCAAATTCAGTTATTCCTCTCTCGACCCTTTTTTGTTTATTTCTGCGGATTTTTGTATGTATATTAATTTTAGAGAATTGGCTTTTTTGTAAATTATGAACCCAATATATAATCCGCTTGAAAGGTAAAATCTTTGAGGAAAAGTTTGAGTATTGGATGATCACGTTCTTCTAATATGGTAGCCATTGTTGTACTTTGGTAGATAGAGATATTTTTAGAAACTACATTGCGTTGGATTTTATTTTGGCCTTTCACTTACAAGAGAACCAAAAGTGGAGGGAAGGTGTTAATGCTATAAGTAGCTGGCTGGTAGTTAAGCAACTTAGGCTATAATGATATTAGGACTATATTTTTTTGCCTTTTAATATAATTTTGTTGTTGGAACCTGGTGATGTTTAATTCTTGAATCATTGTTATTGTTATTATTATGATGTGTGCTTTTTTTTGCGGGATTATACCTGCATACTGTTACTGAGACAAGGCTATTGGTGGATACTTCAAGGGGAGAAACCCTACGCATAAACGTAATGATCTCTCTTTCCTCTTATTGTTAAAGGAGTTACCTAGACTCATATTCCAAAGTTGTTGACCTTTAAATATTAGTGCTATGCAGTGCTTCAAGGTTGCGACTTGTGTTCAGGTTTTGTTAATATTTTTAAAGTAACTTTCTTCTTGTTCTTCTACTGATGCATAATGTTAAAGCTCAAGCTTTGAACAAGTGCTAGAGCCATTTATGTTAAAATAAAATATAAAAAAAAAAAAAAACCTGTATGGTGGTTGTTGTTTTTGTTGTTGCTTTACACTATTAATAAAATAATCAGTCAAGCTTTATTTGTTGACACCCATTTCTGTTTGGATGTGCAGTTTGATGTCACTTTTCCTGCTATTCCATGTACGCTACTCAGTGTCGATGCTATGGATATCAGTGGAGAGCAACATCTTGACATAGTATGCTCAGTGCAGCAGATGCTTGGATGAACATTGCTCACTCTTTTTACTGTTCACTTTTATTAATTTCATACCTTCAGTCAGCTTTTCACAAATGGTGTGTGCTTGTATTTGTAACCTCACAACTTTTTTGTGCAGAAACAGATATAATTAAGAAAAGAATCAATGCTCATGGTTATGTGATAGAATCTCGGCAGGATGGTATTGGAGCACCGAAGGTAGTTGAAAGATAGTTTTCTATCCCTTGTTGTTCACCTGCATTTTTTGCACTTCTTGGTTTCGCAAGATGATCTCCCTTTCATAAACTGTTTTAATGAGGCCTATACAAACTATGCACTTAAGAAATGGCATATGTAATTTATTAGGACGTTAAGGTTGGCATTATGCTGGACAAGAACAGTTAAAAGAGATAAAGTATTTAGAAGGGAAGTCAAGAGAGTAGGGCCAATTTTGAATCATCTTTTCTGCAATTGAGAATGAAGGTGAGAAGGGTAAGGAAAATTTAGCCGGAATGAGGAAGAAAGTATCCCTAGATTTAATCTGTCATTAATGAGGATAAGAAAGATCTAAGGATGTAGGTGAAGGAAAGATGTCATGCTTACTAATAAAATTGTAGGTAAGCCATATGATGCAAATGATATGAAATTCTTCGGCAGGGCAAACATAATTGACTTTTGCTGAACATAGTGCACCTATAGGCTATATAGCTTATAAGGAAAGTTGGAGATGTCAAAAAATTCTAGACTTGATAATCTTCCTAGAGCCGTGTTGGCTTTTTCTAAGTTGATGAAGTCTTACTTTAAAGAAGATACAGTAATTAGCAACTTTACATTCTCTTTTTTTTTTTTTTGGATTAGTAACCTTTTCAGTTGAATACCATACGATTTTTTTTCTCCTTATCTTTTTTATTTCCTTTTCAACTAATTTCATATTTTATCCTCATGAAAGTATGATTCATGTTGATTAGCACCTACATTCCCCCATGAAAGGGCATCTGTTAATCTTTGGTGCCATTCAACTTTATTAGAGATGATAAGATGTGAAAGGGGAAAAAAATCCTCTATTGTCGATATTATTTTAGTTCTATTATATTTCTACTTGTGATACGAGAGGATTTGTTAATGGTATCATCAGTGGTTATTGTTTAATAAGTTTTTAAAACCTAACGCATCTCTTGTGGAGGGCAGCTTTAGTGAAGTTGTACCAACAGCTGTTTCTTTGGTGAGTGCAAATTTGAAAATAATGGTACACAGTTTCCAATTAAGAAGATGGTGTTCAGAACTTTTGGTTTTCCTTAAGGTTAAAGGTAAAAGTGGATAAAAGAAATGAAAGTAAACACTGCAAGGAAAATAAAAAGGTTTCAAGACTAATTCTGTGGGTTAATCAGTTTAACCAGTTGGGGAAGATAGCTCAGCCTCTAGGCTCCATAACCATAATTGAGTGTTTAATTGGTAATAACTGGAGTTGCAACTTGTCATGGCTGTACTTTTTCATCAAGGATCCTGGTACAGATGTCCAATAGCAGTATTGTCTGATTATTGATATGTTGTAACCTCTTTTTACAATAAGTCCTTGACATATTGGTATTTGATAGATGGTATCAATGCTTGAGTAAATAGTCTTCAATCATGTTTTTTTTACTTGCCTATGTTGCTACCCCTATTTAGTTCGTTTTTGCCTTAATTTTCTTTCTTTCTTTTCCCTAGATTGAGAAACCTCTACAGAGGCATGGTGGCAGGCTGGAACACAATGAGACATATTGCGGTTCGTGTTTTGGTGCAGAACAAGCATGTTTGATATCTGGAACCCTTTTTTCAATATGTTTTTAATTTGATTTTTGATGCATGTTATAACATCTTTTAGGTGCTAGCAAGGATGTTAAAGTTGTTGACTAGTAAATGGCTGGGAAATTTTTCCTGAAATATTTGAGAAACAATATATTTCTAAATTAAAAATCTTGGAAAAACTACAACATTCTATGTCAAATATGACCTTGACTCTTTCTGGGAACAAACT